GGGAACTTAATGATGTGCTCATTCAGGACTGCACTTAGCACACAAACTAATTCATGGCCATGCAGGGACACTACTTACTGTGAATGGAAAGTTTACAATTGCAAAACGGTCTTCAAATTCACTCTGAGATAGATTGCTAATTCCTTCCTTTATCATCTCAGCTGATTAAAAACAGAAAAACAGCCCTTGAGTAATATCAGTTACCTAGTTACACTTTACTTGGGTTCTATAAACCCATTGTTGATCATGCTGATGTCATGAGAAGGGCCTGCATGCTCCATGACCAAGACTTCCTGTTGAAGAAATGGGGTGAAAACACCCTCCAAGATGCTACCCCAGTTTCTGCTCACTAATTATTTACACAGTCATGCAGGAAAAGGACAGGCCAGGAGATGTCATGGACTGCAACATCAGTATCTTCCTGAAATACGCTTTGCAGAATCAGGAAGATCAGATACCCAGAGCTGCAGTCCTAGCAGATTTCTTCATTCTTTGCTGCTCTGATAAATCATTTATTAGAACAGCCTTTTTACATAATCCCGGGGTGGAGAGAGAAAAAAAAACAACATCCCCCCCCATAAAATAGATTTATCACAAAATCCTGTCCTCCTACCAACCATCTTCAGACCAGAACATATATTTCTCTGATTATTAATTAATTGATGCACAGGAACAGTTTCAAGCTTTTTAACCTCTCCCTTTCTCTTTGTCCTTCAAGAGGTAGATAAAAATGCAGAGGAGGTGTTCAAAACGCAGATAATTTCTTGAGTAACTGTAGTACTATCAACATGCTTTGAGCCTTATACTCATGGACTCAAACGTTAAAAGCATTCAGAAAGAAAATATTTAAGCTATTTTCCCACTACTTACATTCTGTTCCTTGCCATACATGTTTAAACCTGCACAGCACCATTAACATTGCTGATTTGACATGGAGAAACAAAGATGATTAACAGCCAATACTGCATATCACAACAACAAAGACATACAATATACCAGTAGGTATTTGACCTGTAAAGAGAAAGGAATACGATATTGCCAGCGCAGCTTGTCTGTCTGCCTATCTGCCTATCCCTTAGTACTTTGACATCCCAACTCTCAGAACAAGGCATAGGTTTTCTTCTTTTTGGAGTCCATCCAAATACCTTTGATAATACGAAATACAGCTACACATAAATAACAGGAAAAGGGGGAGAGCCAAATGTACCAACAACATCTGAGCATGTCAAGCCTCTTGAAACTAAAATGATGAAATGAAGACACAGGAATGAGCTGCTCTGTCCCTAGGATGTGCTCACAAGAAAGATGTACAATCATTGGCATTTGCCCTCTCACCCCAGCCCCCCAAACCTCAGCAGCTAGCCAGTGGGGATTTTTATATTATAGCAGTGAATATCAGGACAACTATGGAGAAAAAAAATAACAATCCATATGTAGTCCTAATCCGTAGGTAACTAATACCAATAATATCAGAGTACAACTCCCAGCTTCATTACCTGGTCCAAATGAAATATAGTGAGCAAATGCACTTCTGATCTCTCTTATTAGCCCCATTTGTTAAAATGCTGTGTTATTTACAGCTTTGCACAGTGTAAGAAAACAGCCCTAGAATTCCGTCTTGAAAGCAAAGTGATGGCAAAAACTAGTTTAGCTTTGTGAGCTTATATAAAGGGAAAGGTCTTGCAAAGATGCAACTGTACTAGCATCCCAGCACCAGGGCTCATGACGCAACTGATTGTCCAGTCTTGGCAAAAGTGGATTTTTATCATACTTGGCAGCATTTCTGGTGGGGTTTGCATGCATTAGGAGTTTGATTCAGCAATTAACATCGTTTTGAGGACTGACTCACCTAGGCATTAGTCAGTTAACAGCATATTACTACCTTGAGACATCACTCCCAACTACAGAAACAAGTAAGTCCCACAATAGATTTAAGCTAGATGCCAGTTTTCATTGCAGTCAACACTGGTCCCTGCTACACAGCCAATGGAACTTGGTTCATCTAGGCACATCTAGGAGTGTTCTGAAAAAAAGGAAGAAATCATAGAACCATAGAATCAAGTAGGTTGGAAAAGACCTTTCAGATCATCGCATCCAAATATTACCCCAGTACTGCCACTGTCTTCTTCCTTGTACATGCATAAAAGGTGAGCTGGTAGGAAAAGTCTGGATTCACTTTGTCTTTTAAAATGTGTTATGACATTTAATAAATGTCATTCACTATTTCAGAATATTTCAGAGAGGATGCATCATGAAACCTAGAGCAGCTGCTCAGCTACTTCATATCCTGTACTCCACTGAGTATATTGGCTAGACCTATGCTCACTATTTTAGGATCCCAAGGTGACTTGCTCACAAATGGAAGCATGTGTAGACACATTCTATATCTGCACATTCAGTCAGTAGGAGGTGCCTTGCAACAGGACCTGTAGAAATCAAAAAGTAGAAATCAAAGTTCCCAGGCAAACTAGGTTCCCTATAGACATGATATAAACTGCAGCCAACTCGGCTTTGATATTTGATAGCTGTGTATATATTAGTAAAGTAAACATACCTGGCACTTTCCCCTAGCATTGGGGCCAGCTGGCACTGAATGGCCCACACCCAAACTATTGAATTCTCTCACTTTTCAGAATATCATGGCCACATCCAAGCTAAGTACTGAAAGCAGCCTCTGTTCTGTGCTAATAGTCAGACTTTGTCCAGGAATTGTTTATAGTTAAGCACAAGCCAAAACTATGGCAAGGACCTTTTTAAAATTTCAGTCATACAGATGGTTTGTTTCCAGTTTATCTGAACTTCCCTGGCACAGTTTTAGTTTACTTTTATAGATGTATCTGGTAGGTCTTGGACAGGAGTATTAGCAATCCAGAGGTGTTTTTAAAAAGAACTGGTTTTCACAACATCCTGTATTGAGAGATGTGGGGTAGCTAGACAGCAAATTTCAATTTTAAATTCAAGTAAAACATTTACAAGGATGCTTCCAGCAGTATTTAAAGACTGAATCAACTCAAGTGAAATCAGGAGGTGTTTAGTTTATTCCTTTGCTGAGATCAAGTCATAGGACCTTGTTGACTAATAGATTATTCAGCTAGTCAGTTGTACACTGGGAACATTACCAGGTGCTTGCTGGCTAAAAAGTGATTGCAAAAGCAGATCCATTGCCATTGAATAATACTACAGCTCATTACTCACAATAACTCTCCAGGTTTCTGTCTGGAGATTGATGACTGCTGCGAGGATTGAGCAACACTTTTGCTCACGTCTTCAAGCTGCAGTGCTGTTGGTACCTCCTCATCCAGGTGGCTGGCAGGAAAGCTGCATGGACAGCCAATTACTTGGAGCCTTGGCTTCATGGAGAGGACAAAGAGGGATGCCTGTTTATTCCATGGGCCTCCTTTTTAAAGCCACATTTGCCATACTCAGTGAAACTCTTTGTCTCACTTTGAGGCTAGGACCATAAGTTTTATGATTTCTCATAAACTTGTGCTATTAGCCAAAGCAAGGAGTACAGCTTTAATGCAAGAGTGAGAGGTGTCTTTTGCAAATGGAAGCTACCCCGTGTCATCTGTGAGACTAGGAGGAACTAGACCATGGAGGAGGTGCTGGAGGAGGTGCTGCTGAATGCATTTGCAGTACAGCCCAAGGCTGTAAGCCATGCCCGGTTGTCTGGAGCAGGTGTATACCTGGCAGCAAATGCTCAGCATTAGTTTTGTGAAGGGCTCTCAAACTGTCTCTTCATTTCAGCCTGTCTATTGAGACACACTGGGTTCCTAGGGTTGATTTGTGCCACCAGAGCTTTGTAGGGGTGGGAAAACAGATGGCTTTGTCTGGAGCACAGGCTGGTCTAGGCTAGTCTTACTGGGGTTTGTGCTCAGAAATACTGTTGGCACACAGGGACATCTCTGGCAATGGTAGAAGAGGCAATTCTTATACAATACGATACCTCCCTGCCTCACTGATATCTCAGACCCATGGTCATTCCATCTAAAGTTATACACTGTCTGGCTAAATAAGGCCTTTTTCTGGAGCTAACATCGAGGACCAAAAAAAAAAAATAAAAATAGAAAAACAAAACAAACAAAAAAGGAACAAACCAAACACCCTTCCCAAAGCTGCATGGATTGGATGTATTGCATCCTGTGTGGTCCTGACCTATCTTGGGTCTCCTGATCTCCAGAGAGCAAGACTTCTATTGAGAATAAATGTCATTTCAGGTGGCCTGCAGGTACAATATTCAGTCACTATATATTTCTACTGCTGGGTACACTCCATGGCTGATTGGGTGGTTTGCTGGCAGGATATGAAACTACTTATGGAAACCATGTTAGGAAAGCAGCAGTGTTCATCTTTCTCAACTGCAGAGTCAACATAAAGTCTGCAGAAATTGCCAGTTAATAAAGCTCCTCATATTGCTTAAGTGGCCAACAATCAAACTATTCGTGCCAATGAACACCATAATGGAGAACTTATTAAATTCACATTTTACTTATATTGCCATAATAAAGATGTAGCAGTAGGTGTATCAGGTTCCCCTCATAGTGAGTATTGGAAGGCAAAGGAAAGATTATGCTGGTGAGTGAAGGAGGGTATAGAGATTTACCCCAGTCATGATGGAGGTAAAAAGAACAAGACAGAGCTCTTTGAGACCATGCATCATATCCGCTGACACCCTAGCTCAAATGTGACCCAAATCTTGTGTGTTCTGGTGCTGTGACGCCAACATTTGGATCCTTGTGCTTCACATAATCTTGTGTCCAAACTGGCGCTCAGACCAGCACTATGTCCTGGGACCCTGATCTGTAACAACCCCTCCTACCTTTTGTCCCCCATTGGCAACCATCCTCTCCTCACTCTCCTGCCCACCCTCCTCCCTGCTTAATCCCTCCCTCCCACCACCCTCACCCCTTCCCCATGTTCATTCTCAGTGGTCGTTGCATGTACTTGCCTTGGCTCCCTTCAGATCATTAAGCCCCCTGCCTTGCCTCATGTTTCAACAGGTTTTGTGAGTTTTGACAATCCTGCCAGTGCCCAAGCTGCTATCCAGGCCATGAATGGCTTCCAAATTGGCATGAAGAGGCTGAAGGTGCAGCTGAAGAGGCCAAAGGATGCTAACCGTCCCTACTGAAGAATTGTGGGAACAACTGGATACAAAGCACTAGCACAGGTAACTGCATGGGGAAGAGGTGTCAGCTATGGTTGTAGCCTCTCTTTGTGTTGTAGACCCTCAAAAAACCCTGTGACTCTCTAGCTTCTACCTTTTCCACTTAGGCCTCTGGCTAGAGCCACACTCCACAAATACGCATGCACACATAAACCAGGAACGATTTGTGCGTGCGCCTCTTTAGAGAAAGAGGTGGAAGGATGCTTAACAAGGGATGAGCCAAGTTCCCCAACCCAAGGGCATCCTACATCTCTAGAAAGTCTTCTTGGTCACTAGAGGAGAGCCAGAAGCTGTCTTGATTCCACTCGCTCAGCCAAAGACAGCATTTCTGGTGGCTGAAGAAAATCTGCAATTAAGAGATGGGACTGAGCTGCAGTTTAATCCCAGGTGACTGGTCTGGGACAGTGTCTGTCTCAACAGCTCTGTGTTGCAAACGTTTCAAAGCATTCCTCATTCTTCATGCGGTATAGTCTGTATCCAATTTCATCCCAGCATAATAACTTTATGTAAATATGTCTCCCTGACAACTAAATAACCCCTGATTTCTTTCTTCCCAAGACCAAGAAATAAATAGAAGGATCCATGCTCACTTGTTCCTCAGTTAACGTTAACTTTGGTGTCTAGATGAAACCCAAGCAAAGGCAAGGAAGATTTGCTTGAGTGAGGACCTAGACAAATCTGAACAAGGGTCTTATTGTTAGACTCATACTTTGTATTATTGGAAAGGAGCCAGCTTGATGCTCCAAGGGAACTTCTAATACATTTAACGGTGTCAAAAATATCAGAAGCAGCAGCTTGTTATGTTGGAATACCAAAAATAAAAATGGAGATGTTTCCAAAGTGGAAATGTTTTCCATTACTGGCTGGATTTTCCATTAGAAAGTTATTTGAGAAACAGAAATATGAAATTGCATGTTTTTGTTACAGAGACAGGAATTCTCCCTGTTGTTAAAACTGTCTATACTAGAGATTTCACAATAAACCCAAGCACCCAGGGTGACTGTAAACTCCAACAAGCAGTTTGTACTCCCAAATCAGTGACAGCGATATGGGTTAGGTGACATTCCTAGGCCATTAGAGCTGTAATGCCTAAGATTCAGTGATTTTGATTCAGAACATTTTTGACCCATCTAAGGTGTAGGCAGGAAATCCCTATCTTCAGACTTCCAAAAGAACTATGAAGTGTTTTAAGTTTTCTCTGATATCTCCAGTATCTTTCTAAAATGTACTGTTTCAGCCTTCAGAGCAGTACCCTTTCCACTGAGAATTAAAGAATGGTATGAAAATGTGTTTGAAAAACTGCTGTCTTGAAAGCAACATGAAGAAACCTTTTAATAAACATATTAGATGCACATGCAACATACAGCTTCTATAGTTCAGACTCTCCTTTATATGTGACTATATGACGATCACTATCAATGCATTTTCCCTCTTCAAATACCACTTTTCCTTGTTCATGACAAGGCCTTTTGGAAGCTTGAAACCAAAATATGTTTCTATATCCAAATGCTTTTTGCTTCATCACACTGGCTTTTTATTGCAGGTTTTGCTGGGGGAGAGTGGGAAATGCATGCATGCAATTTTGTTACAGCAGGGACTGTCTTTGTTGGGGAGATTTTCAATGACACAAGCAAAGAGATCAAGGAACAGAAGTGCCTCCCTAGTCTGGTGCCAAGCAATAATGTTATAGCATAGTGCAGCTGTAATCACTGAAAATATGCTTATTTCTTATGGTCATGTAAGAAACTGCAGAGCTGTAGACGCGTGTGTTGTTAAAGATTCACTGGTATGAGTCTACAGTGTTTTCATTATCATGGATCATTATGAAGTGCTCCGTTTCTAGCTTTTCATGATCAGGCTGCTGTTGAGGTCTCAGGTTGTCTCATATAAGATGACTCAGTAGTAGAAATAAAATTTGTGTTTGGGTGTTGGGTTTTGTTTTATTTTTTTCATTAGTAAATGATAACAAAAAGGAATCACCTGGTAAAATGGCAGTAAAATTCCATATCTCTCTTTGCGCATTTGATTTCTTTGCTTCTGCAAAGCAGGACAACAGCCTCCAGTTGTTGCCTCTTAGATAGGAAGTCCTTTTGTTTTCTGGATTTTACTTGGATTTTAGTAATTTTCTGTCCAGCAACACCAGTTAAGTTGTTACCACCAGATCACTCACATCTTCTGCTTATAGGAGCCCTTATTAGAGGTACAGTTCCTATGGAAATGGAATAAATGCAGATCACAGGTCTTTCTTCTCTTGTAGACTCCCACCTTAGTCAGCCCATTGCAGGAGCCTGGCTCAGCACAGTATTATTGTAGCCCCATGGTTGGTCTGATGTGCAACTTCCAGTCAGCCTCCAAAATACTACTAGAAGTCTCTGACTTGCCCACTCAATGTCATTAATGCAACAAGAAGTCTTCTAAAAACACTAGGACAGAAGGCAGCTATCCCATGGGTTCAGAACAGATAGCTATTGCAAAGCTTGGAGCAGGCAGCTCCCTTATCTGGCAGAAATACAATAACTCCTGTATGGTTTTTATCTAGTTTTACTTTGGTCACAGCTTTTCAGGGTCCTTAATTCCAATTTGAAGCATGCACATAACCATATTGACATCAGGGCAATTACTCATGTGTTTCAAGAGGATGCTCAAGAAACTTTTCAATTGTGATTTCTCTAAGGAAGAGCTTTGTTTTATTGAATTTCTTTCAAAAAAAAAAAAAGATGTCAATAAAAAAAACAAGAAGCACCCAGTCTGATGTAATCCACCAGAATGTTACTTCCTAACCAAGACAGATCTTCACTCAATTTTTATTCTGGATGCACTTTTTTTTAAACTTATAAATCTCCCTTTTCGGACATAAGCAGTCTTGGCCACAGTGATTTGAAGTCCTTTGTTTTCATTGCAAGTGCTGTCAAACATTTAAAGGGTCTCTGTGATGTGCCAAGAGGCATGCGTGAGCCCTCTGCATGGCCAGCACCATGGAGGACTACTAGGATAGGCAGAAAGATGAGTTCCTCCGATCCTCGCCATGGGAGCAGCAGTGATCCAAGTGATTCCAGCCCTCCCCGCTGGGTCTTGAAGCATTTTCCCCAGCGCCACATCCATGATAAGTCAGTAGGTGCTATGATAGGACAATATTGCCTAGAAAGCCCCGTAACTCTTCCAGTGTTAAGGAGTTCACAGAGCACCACAGAAGCATCTAGCTGATAGATCAATAAAAGACATTGCACAGAAGAGCAGAAAATATCCTGACCATTCCCCTTCTGCAGCTACACTGCAGTGACTGATCATTAGCAAAGTGTTACTTATTACCTCAGATAGATACTTAGCTGTTGAGCTTCATTTGAAGCTGAAGATGGAGAGAAATTTCTTTGGGATTAACCTGGAGCACTGACTGGCATGAAACAGTGAGACAAAGTGAGTGTGAGTGAGGAAAACTGAGTGAGGCAAAAGTGTAGCAGAAGAGTGCAAAAATTATCAACAGTAATATATTTTTTTTTAGCTGTGCTTCTACGAGTAGTGCCAAAACATCAAAAGAATGCATTTTTCAGGCAACCTGCTTCTCCACAATGCCGGGGGAAATAACAGGCCAAAGCTCAAATGCAAAACCCCAATCTTCCCATCCTCCTTCGCAGCTTCCTGAACATGAGCTTATGTGTGGGTTATTGTAGATGGTGTGAGATGCTCGTCTCATCAGCTAGCTGGAATAGGTGATGTTTTCTTCCCAGAGGAAATGTTTGGTTTCTTTTCTTTTTACTGGAATGTATAGTTTACCAAACTGGAAAACTTTCCATTTCCCTTTTTCTGTGCTCTGATAAGAGAAAAGAATCAAACAACCTTGTTTTAAAGTAAACAGATATGATCAGCCAAAATTAAAACAAACAAGAAAAATCCACATGCCCATAAACAACAAGGTTGTGAATGGAGAATTTCAGGTTGTTTTTTGTCATTTAGATCAGTTCAATACAAAGCCTAGTGAAAGAGTATTTTTTTACTGCATTTTTGGTTGCTTGTACCTCTCAGGTAGGCTTGTATTACTTCCAGTGAGAGGCTATTCTGCAGCTGCATTGATCTCACTGTTTTCTTTTAGGCTGTTTGTCTTAAGATTCACACTAAATATCCTTTATCAGGATCTAATACCATTTCTTGTAGTTATGCCTCCTACAGTCATGCTAACCAATTTCTCTTCCCCTGTACAAATTATAGTCATTTCCCTCCTTTAGTCATCATTTAGGACTTGCTTACATTATGGAAATCTGCACTAGTATAATTACATCAAAACAGTTATCCAGCACAAGCTTTAGTATGAGTGAATAAAGTGAGAACAAAATCAGCACAGCTTCATTTGGGAAAGTCTGCTTAGGTACTGGAAAAACATCAACTCAGCCAATATTTTTTGCTTTTCTTTGGATTACTTTTGCTTTTAATTTCCATTGACAATTGTGATTAAATTTAACATCCTTCACTGTGTTTGTAGCCTAAACTTTGTGCTATTGTGCTCATACATGAAAGAATGGAAGTGAATGTTACTGGGGAAGGCTGAAACAGAACTACTGAAGGTGTTTGCAAAACTGACAAGGAAACTCTCTTCTTCTCTGGCTGATCATTTTTAACCTGTCTGCCCATTTAAATTATTAATAACTTTATTATAGCAAAATTCTCATGTCTGTTCTATAAAACACAGTTTCCATACCAGAGCATGCAAAATCCCATTTGCTAATTATTGTAGTTATTCTAAGATTGGCACACAATATAATGCACTGATGGAAAACGACAATAATTAATTACTGCATTTACTCCAAAATTACAATCAGTAATTACTGCTCTGAGACTGAATTCTATTCAGCAATATTTGGAACTTGTTCTTCCTCAAAGCAGGGCAGCTTTTCAGGAGTATTGCTGTGTTTGCATCTAAATGAGTCCATGTAGGTCACTAACGGATCCGCACTATTTGTCATGAGAGTGATAGAGCAGCACAATGCAATGCCATAACACTTTCCTTCACT